TGTTACTACAAGTCAAAACGATTTTATTCGGAAATAGCGTAACTGAAAAGTGTGCACAGTGACAGCCTACCTGCATTGTCTTTCCGTCCATGACCATAGCATCAAGTGTGGTGTGCCCTTCTTCATCCGGAGAATTTCCATAGCCGACACTGTGTATGTCAGGATCTTCTTCTGCTGATGTGCACCCAGCTACTACCGCAGCGATTGCAGTCCCCCACACATGTTTAGACCCAAGAATGGCTGAACCTTGAAGTACTCTCCATGCCGTGTCCGTCGCGTTTGTGAATGGCCATGTGGCCACAACTATAACGGGCGGCTTGCCCTTTGCCGTAATTGCATCGACATTGAAAAGTGATAGGAGATTCCAAACAGTAACGAGCCGACCGAGCATTCCTTTCAAACCACAAATCTCCAGTGGTCCTTTCGACGTCACAGCTAGTGCTCGTAGCTATTAGATCGACCTCGTAACAGTTTTCATCAATGAACAACCGCACTGTTGGTCGCTTATGTAAACAGAACTTCGGATTGGCTGATGTTCAAGGTTAATGGTAAGTCAGCCAAACTAAATCGAAGATCAACTACGTACATGTAATCTGGTTGTTCGGTTGGATGTATACTCCAAGGGTAAAAGGCAGCAATCAAAACAAAAGAAGAGTGCAATGATAGCTACGAATGGACACGTAGCGAGCATCCCTATGACTCTACGTAACGATAAGTACGATAAGGTCAACCCGATAAAAAGTGTGCAATTTGAGTCACATCGAGTCATTAGTGTCGACTGCGATATCCACTGATTAGCTGATAAATCAGGCATTAAAGGAACTGGAGCTCAAGTCGGCTCTATCGATAGAACTGATCGGCAAACATCCTGATAGTTTAGGAACATGGTCGCTCTAGTCGCTGCGTTCTTGCACAGAAACATTCGAATTCGGCGGTGCCTCCGTCTCCGTCTGAGCCTGTCGCTACCTTCTTCCGTAATAAGTGCTTTGAGCCCCTGAGTTGCCTTTGTCTTTTAGGCTGGACATCAGGTTCGTTACAGCGTTGCAAAGAAGTTCAAGGAGACTGCTTTGTGTACGAAACAGATGTTGCTGAATACAACAAACATAAATAACACCCAGCAGACCAACTGCGTTTTTCATCTGTTTGGTGTCTTCCAAGATGTCCCTTGTAGGTTCTCTTGAGTAGTGTGAAGAAAGGTATACGACAAAAGGCGATGACCACATTTTCGTGGAATAAGCCGAACGTAGCATCCCTGGGACGGGGTCAACTCCTAATAAAGCAGTTGCATATGAAGGACCGAGTCCGTGAGGCTGTATTCAGTGGGGCAGTAAGCTCGAAAGGCCAGGTAAGAAGGACATATTATGTGAGGAGAGCTATGGGGAACATTTCAAAATACAAATAACTTTCACAAACAGTATCTACAATCCCTCCGTGTGGCGATATTTGCAGATACGCAACACATGTTAAAGTCAAGAGAGAGGTAAAAGAAGAATGTCATCCTTTCTAAGGATGACTTTTTGTAAGCAAATTTGGAGCAAATTTTCGGATATCCGAGCTATAACAATGGGTGCCTTGTGGGCTCCCAATAAAACGTAGCATCTTCTGTGGATGCACACTGTAAGGTATATTGGCTGAATACACGTGCCTCATAGAAAATTGCCATTTCAATGGAACAGCAAGTATGAATTTCGGAACTGGCGCATTGACGGCGGTTTACCAAGATGGTATGAAAGACTGATCATGAGGTCACATTGTGACTTATCCTGATCAGACTGGGTAACCGCAGCGCGGTTGATGACGGAAAGAACTACCAACTAAGATATCACGCCATATCAGTGTGTAGGTTTTCGCAAGTTTTATTGCGTCAGGCGTGAGCTATACCGTTTTGCTGATGGCTGAGTTATTAAACTGTTGTTGATGAGATCGTGATAAATGAGTAGTACATGGATAACAAATACTGATGATCTTCCTAGGTCACACAGACCAGTACAGTTTTAGTGATGGAAAAGAATGCAGTCGCGACACAGTGCGAGTGCAGCGCACATGTGCAAAGTTTAATGTCACCATTTTAGTGAACTAAGGCCTGAATTGAAGCCACTGGGTAAAAATACCATGCACAATGGTCCTTTCACGAGGAAAGATGCGAATCCTAGTACAAAAGCACATTTTCAATGTCGGAGAGACTTGGAATCCTGAACCAAACGATATACTGTGTTTTATCCAAGGGGCGAACATACCTTCGGAACAAACAAATTTTTCGTGTTCTCGCGGCGCTTAACTTTCGGTAGGGGGTCATTTTATGTTTATTAACGGGTCTTGATCCACACTCGTTTCATTTGCTTACCTAAAGACTAGCGGGTGATCAGTGGCCTTTCCAGAGAAGATGCATTACCTAACTCGGTCCATAGACGAAAAAATCCACTTTTTTTCTACAAAAAATCACTAGAAACAACTTACATTATTATGAATTCCAGCTTTAGCAGTTTATCTTTCCAAAGTTGACGACAACCCATCTATTAAAGCTGAAGGTCAGTAACCAATGAAAAGTGCATCAGGATGGAAAACAGTTTCAATCGATTGTTTTGCGCAATACTCAGTAATGTTCATCCAAGTTTGTTGTCTGCACTAGCGCGACTGAATCGCTATCAATAGAGAATTCCTTAGTTAGGACGATTTCACTATCATTTATGTCATTTTCTAACCTGTCTCAGATGTGGTTGGCAAAAGGACGCATCCGTTCAAAGGCATTTCTCCTCAGACGAGATATTGGTCCGAACGCTGCATGTGACCTGGCCAAGCCAAAACTGAACCGGCATTTTGTGGTAACAGATGCATGGTGCAGTTCGACACTATGACCAGTGACCCACAATCTGATCCAATCGATTGGTCGATTCCTGTCTACTGTCCTTAATAAGCACTTCTTTATCGACCGACTCATTTGAACCCATGCACTTACGATTCCGATTACAGGACAACTGACTGTGTTAAATCAACTCTGTGGCCGAACTGTTCAGCCTCCACAGCCACGCCGATGTTACCGAATTCTGTGTTCCAATAGAGATCATATGCAAAAAATAAGATAACAAGCGTCCACCACGGTTGTGAATCGTACGATTCCACAGTCAAGAGCCTAGTTCCATTCCGTGGAGCGAAATGTGTTGCCGGTTAGGGAACAGAAGGTCAAGGTTAGCGGTACGTGACGGACGTCTTTATACATTTCATTTCTTACTCTGCTCTTAAATCTGTGAGCCCAACTGAGTGTGTAACATTTGTCTGCACACAATTACTGCAAACGGTGGAAGTCATGCAAGAAGCTAAGTGGGGGGTGTAGGACTGATAGTGCTCAGTAAAACATGCGATGATGCAGTCAAATAAACCGTATCACGTGGTCCTCGTTAAGCAGGAAAGCTGAATTCGATCAGCAACTCTAGGCACTAACGAGGTGAACGAGAAAACAGACGTGTGATTGCATACTTCTTTCTTTGGAAGGCAAAAACGCTGAGACCGAAGAGTGGCGCCTGAGAGGGTGATAGTCCATTTTATTGTTTTTCCCACGCCATCGGCGGGTTCCATTATCCTGGAGAACAAGGCCGTACATCTGTACACAGTTCCGTAAGTCGATCTTGTCCATAAATTATTTTAAACACGCCAAGCTATGAGCAAAGATCTAGTCCGTCGATGCACTTTCTCCATCTGCCTGAAAAGGATGCCTATAAAAAGAAACGGGTTTTGGTCCATTGAAATGCAGTTCAGTACTGAATCCCTTCTAAATGATGCCGTCTTGCAGAAGTCAGTTATGGATAAACGCATTCCATTTCTTGTGCTAAACCGGCCCCCAAGAATGTTTCTGAACACTGACAACGTGGGGCTATTCTCTTTCCAGAAATAACTCAATGATGTATGGAGAGAGCGATGGTGAGACTGCCGCGTTTGGGAACGGAATCACTACCAACTGAAGTCATGAGTGCTTCAAAGTTTGGGGTCTCAAGCTGTCACCAAAACCTAGCTCGGATACAATCAGAAAGAAGAATTCTTATTTCTCAAACTAAATTATTCACACTACGTTCAACTGTCTCGTTTCGCTGCGAGTGCGCCACAACGGTAGACACAAAGGAAACATATTATCAGAAAAAATGCATTTGAAGACGTAACATCAGAAACTATAATTGAGGATAGTCCAGAAGCATGAGACAAAGGGCTGAAAAAGGACAAACATAAACCGAAGGATTCGTACATGCAGTAGATAAGGTTGGCTGAGAAAACAGACAGTAGTTTCACTTATTATTCGAAAAACTAGTCCCATCAAAACGATTAAGTGGAATCATTCGGAAAAAGAACTGGGTGGTATATGTAAGACTTGGGTTTTGTCTCCCGATGTGTTTGTGCGTAGGTTGATGTGAAATTTCTCGATTCCGACGCAGGCAGCGCCATATTCTCCGTTGATGTTAAGGGCGACCAAGGCACCACGCCAGGGCAGAGCCTACAAAGAACCCAAAGCCAAACTTCTTCGGTCACTAGCGTTCTAATCTTTCTAAGCCAGCTAATAACGAATAGCTAAGTTGATTAAGCAAGACATTAATCGGTCAAGCAAGTCGCCCACATCGAGAGGATACATCATTTGTGTATGCGTCAGGTCAGTGGATGCATGCCCGCTAAGTCTAGGGTGAAAATCTCAGTGAATTATCTCCTGGACATTCTATGAACTTAGATTGAAACTGTACGCTGACAGTAGAGAAGCAGTACAATATCATTGTTGTATTATGTGACAGTTCGCTATTTATCGCAGTTTCAGAAAACTGGTAAAACTTCATAAACTGTTAGTAAACCAAATCAAATCGCATCGAACGACAAGGAGGATTCAGTTGTCCAACCGACCACAGTAGCACAGACGCATACATCAAACACCACATGACCAACATGCTAAGGGACAATAAAAACATCTTACGCATGGTTGAACCCCAAAAGTTGGATAAGACTCTCGTAACACCAAACAACTGTTTGGTAATTGATCAGGTGGCTGTTGATCTGTTCGCCGAGCTTGGCAATTGGTTTGCAAACGTTTCGCCACCATTCGAGGAGACATCTTCAGTGCGCTGTTGGTTGGGTAGTTCCTCTCTTCGTGCGTGCGTTTATATAGTCTACAAAGAGCAGCCTTTGCGCTGTAACCTGGTTCATCGCCGAGATCGCAATGCAAAAACTGGAGAGGACCGTGTTGCCGGACATCAACCCGAAGCTTTGGGTACGTTATGTAGACAACACCTTTGTCATCAGCAAGAAGAGAGAACTACAACGAGCAATTCAATTGATAAACAGTGTCTCCGATGACATCAAGTTCACGATGGAAGAAGAAAACAACAACAAGCTGGCGGTTTTAGATGTCCTCGTCACAAGGTTGCCGAGTGGACAAATGCAAACGGAAGTCTACAGAAAAGCTACTCACACGGATCAAATTCTGAGCTACCACAGTAACCACCCAAACTGCCACAAACAGAGCTGCATCCGGACACTATTCAAGCGAATTGGAACACACCGCAACACAGTAGAATCTAAAGTAAAAGAAGAGAAACGCCTGTACAGAATCTTTCAAAGGAACGGTTACCCAAGGAATTTCGTCTGGAGATCTCTGAGAAAATGCAATTCAACCAACGCGACAACCAGAAACACAAGCAAAACAATCACATTACCATATATCAAAAACATTTCGGAGATGACCGCCAGGATATTACAACAGCATGCCATAAAAGTGGCCCACAGACCGACTGACACGCTGCGAAGAGTACTATCAAAACCAAAGGGGACACTTAATGCAATGGAAAAGACAAACGTAATCTACAAAATTCAATGCAACGATTGTGAAAAACACTAAGTGGGACAAACAGGGAGGAAACTGTCAACCAGAATCACCGAACACAAGCTCGCCACCAAGAGACATGACCAACTCTCTCTCATCTCTGCACACGAAGATGGGGAAGGACACCATTTCGATTGGAATAACGTCAGAATACTGGGCCAAGCAAGAACAAAGAAAGAACGCGAGTTCATGGAGGCGTGGTACTCCACTGGTGGAGCAATAAACAGGCACATTGAGATTGATCCTGCCTACCAGCCTCTGAGGACAAAGGAAATCCAGAACCACAGAACCCGAGGCCGGACAAGGACTCAAAGAAGAAATCAATAGAACAGCAGGCTACTAAAAATAGGAGGCACGCCACAAACCAACAGAGAAGCCGACCACGACGCAATACAGATCAAGAACGGGCCAATCAGAATCCAGGTTACAGCGCAAAGACTGCTCTCTGTAGACTATATAAACGCAGGCACGAAGAGAGGAACTACCCAACCAACAGCGCACTGAAGATGCCTCCTCGAATGGTGACGAAACGTTTGCAAATCAATTGCCAAGCTCGGCGAACAGATCAACAGCCACCTGATCAATTACCAACCAATACACCCGAACTACCAATATTCCAACACATTACCACCAAACAACTGTGCTCTGTTTCAACTGATTCGATCAACTGACCATAAAACAGGCATCAGCGACCTGACTTGCAAAAACGATGGACTGGAGGCTCATTGACCAATTCGTCGAGGGTCGGGTAAAACAGCAAGACGAACGGCTAAGCTCTACACAAAGTCTGGAATGGCTCCGCGTTGATACGAGCCTCTAGTGGCATTACCATGGAACTTCCCACGAGAAGAAAGGTATGGCAAAGGCTATTTCAAGCGGACTAACTGATCCCTCAGAAAGTAGACTAGATTGGACCAACATAGTAAACGACACACACAAATGCGACTAATTACACAAAAGAGTAATCCCGAAATCTATATACAGCAGAATAACTGACATGCTTCACACTTTGTAGGCTTTTCACACAAGCCTCTGTTGGGTTGAGCCCTTGACGCATATGTTGCACGACTTGAAATGTTAGCAGGAATCTCATCATGACATCACCATCGCCTGTGCCAACAGCTCCGCCAACCTGTGGAATGACGGTAAAGTGGAGGAGATAAATGTGCTAGGAGTCACACAGCTTAAGATATTGAGTCTAAAGCCCAAGAAACTAATGAGCATGAATAAGAAGCAGCTGGGCCTCGTCTCTCCTTTCTTGGAAGGGGGAAGAAATTCAGCCGTACTAAAGAGGAAATCGTAATTCAAAAGAACTGACAGTTGATCATCTGAACTCTCGTGGCCCTATTCACAGCCAAATCGTCCTATTAGTGAGTGGTGGTTACAAAGACGGTTTCATGATAATCGAGGTCCCGTACCGGATTATAACGATATCATTCAAAATTCAAGCACAAATGAATCATGCGATGTATGGTTTGAAGTCAGATAGTGCATAACAGTAAACTGCTTTCCTGCCGTTAGAAAAATATAATCTGTGAAACAAAAGCAAGTGGTATCTTCAGAATTATATCTGGATTTAAAAACATCAGTACAAAATCACTGGTGATGCAGTCGGACAAAGCCATCTCCCCAATAAAGCCTCAATAAGCTCATCACGGAGACAAAGGCGGTGACTTCACTTGAGTGTAAAAGGTAGGTTTTGGTCGACCGGGAACACTTCAATGGGTCTTATAAGGACATTCTTGAAGAAGTATCTGAAGGGTTACCCTCAGGGGACTACTGAATAGGTCAATTGATTGAGCTAAATGTTCAGCAAAACTTCGGTTTTCCTGTTATTCCCAAGAAATAATTGGAGTGAGTCTCGAGAAACATGGGGTAATGTGCATTTGAAAGTCTTCTCTAATTTGCCTACAGAGTGAGAGCTAGAGAAAACCCGCATTCTGCTTTCATCACCCAGAAAATTACAAACCCGAGTGGAAAACTGGGTCACAAATGGGACAACCTACAATGCACGCGGTTAACAGTACAAAAACCGTTGTGTAAACTTTCGGGAGGAGCCATTGTGCTAGCCTGTTAGAGGTATCATGGAATCCTCAAAATGTTGTGCCGAACTGTGATGCGCTCCACGCGTTAGTATTGAGGCGATCGAAAAAGGACGAGCCGACAGAACTGCAAACGGTGTGGAAGGGCAGCGGAATAGACTTGAAATGAACTGGAATAAGTTAAAAGCCAGCTAATTAAACCTGAGACTAAGTGTAACGCAGGCGGAGATCCATCTGCAAGTTGGCACAACCACAACGATGAGTTTAGGATCCCAGGAAAGTAGAAAAGGTTCGCATAAACTCACATCGTTATCCACATATCCACCAGCCCCAGGGATCGGTGAATCACCAACTCGACCGGGGATCTTATGAACAGCACCACTGGTGGAAACACCAACAGCCATTGAACCATAGCGATCAAGGGCGATCATGCCGATTGTGTCATGGTGATCTTCATCAATCAGGTTGCCTTCTCTAGGTTGTGTTTGGTGATAACCTGGGAGAACAGGCATGGTTTAAGGAGCATGTTCTGCTACAACGGGTCATTACATTATGTAAACCTAGTGCACTTTTGAGACCAGAAACGTTAGAGTGAGTTTTTCTTACTCCTCGCATGATGCACACAATATAGTTCTATAGCAACCCAAAGCCTGAATCGAGTAGGAATAAGGCTTTGGAACTGAGGTCCCACTTTCCAAATTTACGACCAGTGGGCAGCAGTGACAAAGCCATGAGTTACCATGGGGGTTCATTTACCTATCACCAAGCCTACCAACGAAATATGACAGCAGCCATGAAAAAGGCTCGCGGAGTTACCTAGCAAAAGTACTCAAATGAACCTGGCCCGCACAGCAACAGGGCCCAAGCGACTGTTAGTGACACGCACTTTATCTGAGGCTGAATATGCCGTGAACACGAAGTACATGACCATAATCAATAAATATCACCGCAGAAACCAAAATCCTCAACATTGTTTTCTGTCCTATTCACACTAAGAATGGTTGATTATTCCCTTCAACACTAGAATAGGTTTCTGTGACCCTCAGAAACAAAAGTATGGGTGAATACAGCAGTACAGTGATGCCCAACGGCAGTCCAGTTGACTATGTCCGTAGGAAACAAATAAGAACGAAAGAATTTGTTCCAGCAAGAGCATTAGACAGAAATGGGAAGCGCAACTAGTTTCCAGCTTGCTTTCGAATAGACGAACGAGCAACTAAAGTCCGAAAACCTATCGGAATCGGGAGGTTTTTCTCTGGGAAACCTGAAAATGTAGCATCTGTTTCACACGGCTTCGTCAGATTCCAGTGCTATGGGCGGAATAGGTATCTGCGAGACCTAATAAATTATTGGAATTAAAAGTATATATTGGCGGGTGACAAAGTGTGATAGACACGCTGTTGACGCTTACATTTTATCTCTGTTAGATATGGGAGGGTTTTCAAATAAGCGAGACGCCTTTGCGAACTCCAATCCTATGTAATGGTCTGGTTCCTCAAACGTCAACATAATTTGACTGGGGTATATGTTGAGCATACCGAAACCTGTGTATGCTTTAGAGATCCTATTCACTGAAAGGTATACGATACGGTATATGGTAATGTATTGTGGACATACCCTCTGTCAACATGAAAGAAAGCAATGATTCCTAGAAAACTCTTGTGTGGTACCGTTTTGGATGGCATCCCACAGCTGCTTGAGATAAAACGTGATGATTGTGACTTATCAGATCACCCTAAAACTGTTGCATATGTACATTATTTGTGCATTTAACTAGTATCAACGGGAGATTTAAACTAGCTAAAAAATGCAGCACTAGTTTACGGTTACCTTCAAATGAACGTGTTAAGATGTTCATCCAACCTGACTACATTGTCTACAAGGAATCGCGATAATACTTCTAATCACTGTTGTAAGTGCTACTCTCCTACAACCTGCATTTTTTCATCGGTTAATTCAACGGGGTGGATCAAGGGGCGCTGAAAAACATCCGCCAATGACGCCATCATCGGTATTCTGAAGTGGTAACTGGACTGTTTATTTTCACTCTCCTGATCAATGAAAGCTATAGTGACCATCCCATCAGAGTATATTCACAGAAATGCTTTTTAGCGTGCGTAGGAGGCTGGATGTTTGGAGTGAGTGAATATCACTTAAAATGCACAGATTCATCGCGAGCTGAAGAACTACCACGGTTGGTTGGTGTGTTCGCCAAAAGAATCAGGAGTTTTTGGTCCCGTTTTTCCCGTCTCGCTGGAAAGTGTAACCTTCAGTAATTATCCGACAGAGACGAATGCGACAACCTTACTTTACTTCACCACAGGTTATTCCAATCTACCGTGCCATTTGATGTCTCACAGGAGGCGAAAAAGCAAGCCCAGGACCAGCACGGAAGTTGCGCGACCATACAATCCTGAGGTCTCTTCTTGGATGTCACCTCGCTTCGACAGCGCCAAAATATCTCTTTTTATCAAAGCTCGCAGGACCAGCCAGCTGAGAGTTAGAGTATGCGCACAGTGAACATGATCACCACTAATTTGTTCAAATTGATCTGATAGGTTCGTAGAAAAAAGATGACTAAATGAGCAATGTACTAGAGGACTGCGGCGCGGAAGTGTTGGAAAGAAATGTTTAGGATCATTAAATGAGTATTCCAAGTAAAAAGCAACATATGCAGAAAGGTGCGCATGAGATGGACACAAACCAATGAGATCCCGCTGCTATAAAGAAGCTACTTTAGAAGCGTATTCCCAGAAGGAAACTATTCACAAGGTTACTGAAAACTCTTCACCCTTCTTAATCCTCATCAGGTTGACCCGAATTTCCGTCAACCTGGTGTGTTCTACTTGAACCCAAATTGTAAAAAATTCAAAAAAATATATACTCACTTGCACACCAGTTTAGTTTTAACGCCGGATTCAGCTGAATCCCAGCCAATCTCGTGTTTATGTCCCGTGCTGCTTGTGTTTTTATTTGTATTTGTGCATTTGAACTTCACAATTCTGCCTAATGCATTTACAGTTGATGATATTTGTTGGCTTCAATGGTGCCCTCCTCAAGTGGCTTCCACAATGAATAACGCGTTCACATTGCTGGGATACATAAAAGCTTTGGCGTGAATTAACACTTGTTCTTGGAATGCTCACATCAAGGTCTATCTAATCCCCGTCAACTTACTACTAAAGTCGAGAATCAGTGGAACGGTAGTAGTGGAGAAAAACACGTACTTTTAAACACTGGTTTATACGGTCCGCCTGATGTTGTTGGATCAGGATCCCATGCACCTGGCTTACGATAGTTTGGCTGGCAGTTGTTAGCACGCCACCTTTGCCACAATTCTTGCGAATCTGGTGTCTCCATAGGCTCGGCAGAAAATCCCCTGGACTTTGCGAATTCCGCTGCTTTCTCGCCAACCAACAGAGTGTGGTAGGTGGAATGGAGGACCTCGCGCGCCACTTGCGTTGCCCTTCGGATATGTGGCAAGCCAGCAACAGCTCCAACCTCGAATGTGAAAAAAACTTTCGGTTTGTGTTGTGTACGAAATATCCAACATCTCTGTTTTTTAAGACAACTGACATATAATTACAGTGCATTTCCGGAGCAAACTTGTAACTAGGTGGAAAATGCCAGCAAAAGTTATCGGAAGAAATTTAAGTTTCCGTTTTGGTACCATAATATGGAAAAATTAACGTACTTGTATGGTAGTTAAGGTAATGGCGCAGTAAGATGCATTGGGCTGGTCTTCATCGCTGCGGAGACGCCATGAGGTGGGTTTCTACTTATGTTTAGTGTTCAAAGACAAAAACCGTCCTGTATCTACGTCAGAATGTAAAACCTGTGTTCCGCCGAAGGAGGCCTGTTCTATGTGCTGTATTGCCTGTAGCTGATCAAGAGCTACAGAGACTGTAAAACGAGGGAGTCATTCAACCAGTCAATCATTCGAAATGGACAGCACCAATTGTGGTAGTCAAAAAGCCTACATGCAAAGTCAGGATATGTTCAGACTTTTCAGCTGGTCTTAACGCGACACTAGAGGATCATCAATACCCGGTGCCGTTTCCAGATGAATTGTTTTCCAAGCTGAACAGTGGAAAATGTTTGGATAAGTTGGATATATCTGATGCTATTTTGCAGGTTGAAGTGTCAGACGACAGTAAGCGCTTACTTACAACCAATACATATTGTTGACTTTTTCAATACAACCGACTATCAGTCGGTGTTAAGTCCGCACTGGCAATATTCCAGCAGCTGATGGACACCATGCTACAGGGACTATCATTCACTGTTGCTAATTTGGACGATATTATCATCATTGGCTCTGACCCAGAGAATCTCCACAAACGTCTCGGTCTCGAATCCAAGACTATGAATTCCGCCTCAGAAGTGAAAAGTGACAATTTTTCATGGATTCCATCAAATACCTCGGATTGATAATCGATCGTCATTGCCGAAGACCGGACCCGGAAAACATAGATGCCAGAAAACTAATGCCTCCACCCAAGGATTTACCTACATTGAGGTCATTCCTGGGACCCGTCAGTCATTATAGTGCTTTTGTGCCAGCAATGCATGATATCCGTGGTCCACAACAGTTAGGCAGTAACACTTAACACTGCTGCCCAGCTTAATAACGCGTTAATAAAGATTGAAGGCCTCCAAAAGGCGACTGAGAAATTCAAGGGACATTTTGTACTACCGGTGAACTGCAATTTCGTATAGTGAAGAGGGAACAGAGAAGTGGGAACTTTCGTCCGGTCCGGATCGTGCTTTTTAACCGACGAAATCCAAAGTACATTCAACCGCTCAAAATTTAACCAGATAATCTTATGTCCAGCAGTAAGAAGAGGGAAGAACAACGATCTCGTTGTATACAGCCAAACGAAGCTAACCAAACGACAAGTCGTTTTTCCATGGAGATGTTCACCTCTACCAGTAGCAAGCCGAGCAGTTTCATTTGTTATAATGTGATTGAAGTATGGTAAATCAGGGGAAGTATCATACTCTTGTCCCTGCTATATACGGATTGTAGATACTGGTGGGCTAAAACCGGGTGTTTATCAACGAAACCCTGTCTTGTCTAGGAGATTTATTTGGATGGACCCAGATTTGCTGCGAGCCGAAGTGGATGACGGCTGGCTATTTCGGTGGAAGAACAAGTGATAACAGAGGAAACCTCTGAGTTCGACTAAGCTTGTGTTGGTCGCAGTTGGGCACAGGTGCTGAATTCGAATAAACCGTAAATTTCATAATGTGTTTTCAGTTCAGTTTCATTTTGTGAATCATTTCAATCCAGTACCAGCCGAATGTCTTAAGTCTGGTGAGCACGGTACTAATAAAGGGAGCTGGCAAAGGTAGACTGGTGGAAAATGCATACCAGGCTACATAAATGACCTGGCAGATAAAGACGTGTTCTGTGAGGAACTGGAATGGGGAGTTTCCCTTCAAGGCGGACACGAATGCTACTGTTTTCCCGCCGCCTATGCCCACGCTTAACGAACAATTATTGATGAAATGTGCGTTTAGGATTGTTTTCCAAAGAAAAGCCCTAGGTTAAGATCGTTATGCGGAAGATGGCGAGCTCGTAGTAGTGTGCAGTCCTGCGCAATCATTTATCAGACCTCCTCGAGCTCGGCTGCTGAAGAAGACTATTCAAGCAGTTCCGCTAGTCAAACTCCACTACCATTCTCAGGGTGGTAGAAAGTGCCGTTGGTTGGTCGATGTTTAGGGGCAAATGTAGCCATTTTCCAATCAATATCCACATTAGCCCCATTCGTCTGGATTTATGGACTTATCGCGGCTCTGTTGTCGTCTTCTTCGTTTGACGAAAGTATAGTCTTCAAAAGGTATCTCAGTACTGGTGCTCACAGGGACATATTATTCCCAGAATAGAGTTTGGCTCGATGTGTACGCCAAAAAGGATCTTCGCACGGTGCTTCATTGTTGGAAGGTTCAATGTTTCGCGAACTACTGTAACACCGGAGCTATTCAAGTAATATCAGTGAAGTTAACCATAGAGCTCAGTTGATGTAGTTTTCATTTCCACTGAAGGCGCTAGAAGTTTATTCAGTGTTGTGATGTGAACATTTATTGCAGATTTTCAAGGACAATGCTCAACAGTTCAACCCGTTTACAGATACAACTTCAGTGTGAATTCTTCAAGCCCTTCTCAGCAACCGGTGAAACAAACGGTCGGCAGTGGTATTGTTTACTGTATAAAACCACTGTTTATATAATAATTATCCATAAATCCAAGTCCCATAGACTTTCACAACAAACGTAAAAAGTTAGACATTACCATTCGTCGGGCCCCGACAAATTTCACCAAACATTCTAAACCAATTAGCAAAATAACGTTAGTTTTAGTTCCTGACCAATTACTGCTCATGTAGCTCACCAACCAAGCCTACTTGCTGAGACTCCGTCGGTCTTCTTTAGTCTAGTTTTATGGCTTGAGTTAGAAAGAATTTCGGTGAAGGACTGTCAAGGACTGAGATAAATGCAACAGCAGTCTTGAGATCCTGTCGTCTACAAGCTTATCGTCTTGATACTAAATTTTCAGGTAGTTACTACGAAAGGAGTGTTTTTTGTCGATAGAGTCATTGGTTCCTTTTAATCTGTGTTCATAAACCCTGAGAGGATGAGTGACGATGGCTCTACCTATGATCTGAACTTCTGTTAACGGGTCAGAATGGGTAAAAGTGGTCATAGAAATGAATAAGAGCCTCAATCTCCACAATAGAACAAAAACAGTCAGTAACAGATATTGCGTAAAAGCAGACCAACGTCGGAAGTGAGAATTGCATTGGAAAAGCCGTCTTATTTCGGATAAGAGCTAACTCACCTCCATGGTTCTCCCATCCATCACCATCGCATCCAAAGTTGTATGGCCCTCTTCATCTGGAGAACCACCATAACCGACAGTTTTGATGCTACGATCGTCTTCCGCGACGGTACATCCTTCGACGACGGCATCCAGGGCCATACCAAAAACAGGATTCCCCTGAAAAACACTTTCACTTGTCAAAATCTCCCATGCAGCGTCGGTTGGTTTTGTGAACGGCCATGTGGTGATCACAACCGGATCGACGTACTGAGACGAAGTCATTTCTAAGTGCAGTCTGAACGGGGAGGTTTGTGTATATACGATCGTTGGAACTGGCGTTGCACTCAGCTTGAGACTGGACCAGTAAACGTGACCTACAACGCATAAACATCGGTACCTTTGTGTGCCGTGAATGGTCGGTCATGGCGGCAATTTACAAACAGTCCGAGACTATTCAGGCAAATAGGATAAATCAGTGACGCTACAGCGTCAGACAAAAACAAACGGCCATAGCAATTTACTGGTGAAACCAGGATGATCAATTGTATCTTATACAGTACACGAAAGTTTGATGCTTCCATTATTGTAGATAACAAGACTTCAAGGTGCGAAACTCTTAGAAAGCTGCTGAAAATTAGAAACAGGCGTTTCCAGAAATACCCCAAGCTATTAAGTCTGTTATTGTGATTTAATATTTACTGTAGCATAGGCCCGATTATCCATGATATAAAGTTCAAGCTTGCACCATATTTTTAGTATACAATCACCCTGATAATGAGACTAAGATTCGGACCGAGTTGCTCAGTACGACTATCAAATAATCCGGGTAGGTATGGATTCGTTGTCACGTTGGGTAATGAGCTTTTCAACTGTGTCCTAGGATATCCGTGACCATTTGCCCTTGGCAGGACTCATCAGAAGGGCTTCAGCATTTTTTTCACGTACTGTATGACCAACCGATTTTCTTGTCATCAAAGGTTACAGGTCAATCTATCGCCGAATAGCCACCCCGTGTGTCCATTCCAAAAACGGTTGCACCTTTCAGAGGTCGCGTCATCAACGTGCGATTCGCTCGCAACCGTTTAGATTAGAAAGCCTCATCGCTGATAATCACTTTACCCATTCAGTATTTGGGAAAACAATCTTCTATCTAATTTTCTTTCGACAGAGTGAATTTGTGCCAAGGTGGGTTCAACGAAGGGTACATCAGTTGTGGATATTCCCATCCAGTGACTTCTACAGGCTAAACAGATTAAAAGTTGGACGTGAGCTTACTTAATGCTCTCTAGAATATCTTTGTCGGTTTATCACATCTCCATTTTGATGAACATCATGGGGGTCGTTCTTGAGTAGTCAATTTCTTTCACGTACATTGATCACTCAACCCCGTATCCTCGTTGGCTATTACAGGATCTTTTCTGAACGTTCACGACGTTCAGTATTTTTAAGTCGCATTAAAACAGGTATCTGAACAATGTTTCAGCACCGGTCGCATGAAGCAGGTAGATTCAGCTCAGACTCAGTTTAGGTTCCAGTTCACACCAACTTGATTTGCAACAATATTTATCAGTAAATGGGTTCAATTCGACGTTCAGTTGGTGAAAATCAAGAGTATGCTCGCATGACGTGTACCACCAAAAGCGAAACCGACAACGGTCTATCCAGACGTCTTCGTCGATTTTGCAATTTGTGTTGTGTCAATAAAGTATAATTTGGTCACTATCAACAAAATGGGGATCAAGCATGATGTGACATACAGACAGAGGGTTGCGAGACACGGACGGGTGTTGTGGTATGACTAGCAGCGACGGCGGGAGCCTAAATCACTACAGTGGATACTTAAGCATATAACCAATCATTATATCATTTCGATGATCCACATTCCGAATATGAAGCGTGTATGTCCAAAAAAATATTCAGAATGGTCGAGTAGTAGCATGAGCAGACTTTGACATGGATCCATTCCATAATTTGAAGCAGACTACTACCATAGAGAACTGTCTTATCCCTGTTGGGAACAATCGGTAGTGCCTGTCGCACGAACTTCTCTATGCATCCATAAGATACGCACTGTTGATGATTTCCAACAAGGGTGAAACAGCTGTAACCTGCTTATCGCCTTTTCATAATGGATTGACTTCACTTGGAGGATTAAATGTCGGTTAAAATACCCAAAGTATTCGAGGACAACAAGGGGAACTTTACACACAATATCTGGTCACAATAAAACATCTTATGCAACCGGTTTTACTCCCAAATAATGTTCTAACTTGGAAATAGTCCCAATGAAGAAATTCATCGTCTCGCTTGTTAAAAATACGATAACCGTTTCGGTTAAACTGAGCTCAGCTGATCGTATATACTCAGGTGGATAAAATGCAGTTGAAATATTGGTGTACCAATAGGAAAAGTCTCCTTTTACAGAGTGCTGTTAAGCAATAGCGGAAGTGAAACTCCTACGTTGAACCGAGAATAAAGAGTAAGGTCGTTCCCAATAGGTAATGTTGAGCTTTATCGCAAGCTATTGCTATGCCAGGCAACTCCACTCAATTTCCACACAATCTGCAGCTGAATACGTACATACAGGATTTTAGTAATTTTTGGGCCATATGAAGGGAAATAGGTTGGGTGCTTTGTCCGGATTACTCATGAGGAAATACCCGTTAGAGCACCAGCAAATAGGACTGACGTATTCAGTCCAACGTTTCTTCTTCATCAAGGGGAGCTGGGCAAAAATCAGATCAGAGAGAACAAGGAAGCCAGTTAGCATATAATCATCACGNAAGGGCTCCTCGGGATACCAAGTAGTTATCTTTGTGGGTGTTTGATGTAATTGGAGGAAGCAACGGAAACGACCCCGAAGGCGGTCTACGATTTGCATGAATGGTTGATCACTAAGCAGCTCCGCTTGCTCTGTATGCATTCTTCATCACCATTCAGCGCGTGAGCTAAGTACTGAATTACGAAAAGCTAGAGACGACGTGCGAACGAAGCGGCATAAAAGAGGGTCACTTGCAGTGCTGCATACGAAACAGCCATTGTTCTCAAGTTTTACAGTCATTGTGCGGGGCTCACATGCTCAGTGGTGGCGATAAACGCGGATCGACCACTTGCACAGGTTTATCGGTCAGACCAGTGAAACTAACCGTAGAATTTCATTCAGATTGCTTCCGTCCGTTTGCCAGAGTTAGCAGTGAATTGTGACTCAAGTTTGGCCCTGTCTCAAGCACAGTATGCATATGAAGATTGCGTGCCTTACTGGGTGATTCACTGGTTCCTCTTGATCCGATTTCTTTCCCTTTTCCGTTTATTCTGCTTGATAAGGGTGACGCTCGGTCACTGAAACTCTGGACTAAAAACATCAGTTCCATCTGACGGATCCTGTGTTCTTTCGCTTTTCTACCCAAAACGGAATTTTTCAATCTTAAGCCCCGAAGGCCTAATGAAATCCGTCCGGAAGGTATTACTCAAGTATGGCCAAAAGGAAATCAAACCTTAGAGCCTAATCTCACTGTCCGGTATTAGTGGCGAAGGCCTCGAAATCATCCATTTTAGTTCTGATTAGGAGCTGTTACAATGAGAGGAATCATCTTCCGACATAGGTATAAACTTTAGAAAGTGTAAAATATGTCTCCTATTTGGAGGTGATCTATGTGGGGGGAGGGCAGATTCCCTTGCGTACGATGTTCATCTTGCTTCGTTCTATTTGATTTGTTTCCACATTTATTTGGTGCCACGTGGAAAAGCTCTTTTCTGCACAGACCCAAGCCTTTGTTAGTATGATCATAAAGAAAATCGCTGAAGGAATACAGACTCTTAGGACTTAACAGAAATCTCCAGATTAGAAATAGAGCGTTGCAAACGGGTAATGGATGGCGATGGTTCTTAAGTCATTGGTGCACATGACCGTGAGCTTTCTACAGACTACATACTACTACTATTTGTCATTTATTTTTGAAGAGCATGGTCACAAACAAAAAGTGAATGCAAGCGACGAATGAGAAAGGGTTACAGGAGAATGTGAGATAAAAAAGAGAAACGTCTCGTTCGGATTCATGCCACCAACACTTCCAGTCAGATTAGATGAATCTGAACGTACGGAAAAATTCTGGTATGGAAACACGCGTCTAAAGACCAACAACCGAAGAAAGGACAATGTTGAATGCTCTTCAGGGCGCCAGAAACTCTTGGCAGGCATTGATAAGAGCAGCAAGGTGCGTCACTTTTCACCCTGAACTTACACCACCATGTAACAGTGGCATCAAAAAGTGGGGAAATGTTTCCAGCGCACGCAACAGCCATCAGTAGAATAAGCTATGACTACTAAAAAAATTCTGGGACAAGTCAAGCGGTCTACTCTGCCAAACGAACAGCGGCTGGACATGTCCTTTACAGGGTTTCAAGAGGAAATTTTTCGGAAAAATGAACCGTCCCTTATAGGTTGATCCTTGTTCCAAGACTGATAGTAGATAATGCACGACCTGCACTTTGTATCGTAACATAAATTAACCATGCACAAGCCTTAGAGTGCCAAAAATCAGAGCAGACTAGTCTGTGGAAGAGAAGTATTCTGGAAAGCACCCCTCAGATTTTGGCTTATGCGGCCATTTTCAACAGGCCTAAATCCTATAATTGAACTAAAATTCCCTCAGGAGCCGTCTATCAGATGCGTATTTTAGGCTCAGGCTATTCAAAGTGGTATCCTGGCAAAAATGCAATTAATATTCATTATGGCTCAGAGTTATCTACAAAATCCAAAAAATTCATCCAAGATGCAAACATATTTAGAGCAAACAGAAATGGGGAAACCACGTAACGGAAATGATTTTCGTTTACTTTGCAACACGAAACACCGGCTGTCCCAGTAACTTGGTAGCTTTGTGATAAGGCATCGTACAATTGTACGGCCCTGAAAACGGGCAAATCGATTCGCCATCTGAAAGGTTCAGCGTCATAAACATCGTAAAATTGCACTGGATTCGTACCATGTACGGATTGGCATCGACTGTGTTCAACCATGAGTCGCGTGAGAGAATAACATACCGATTCTCTGTTCACAGCCTTTCGATAAGAATTTCATGGACTGCATGACCCTAACATCTATACTCAAACGAGTTACTGACGTGGTGCATGTTTGTTACTACGGGGCCAAGCAGAATTTCGCTAAGAATGCATTGTCTGGATTCCTGAGGTGATAATTTATTGACCGTTGGCTGACACAAAACCGTTAAGGTCTACGGTCTCGTGTATATGTGGAACGTACGGGTCCAAACCCACCATCAGCACCCGTTTCAAAGGAAATCCGAGTGCTGTATCGTAGCCTTTGAGCTCGCTTGTCTTAAAATGCCAATTTTGGAGAACGAAGTCGTGCACCGTTTTGAAACCTGAGATGGTGATAACGGACGATTCAGAACTTCTCGCATATTCGGTTGCCAACCGAAGTCTCAGTAAGGCACATATTCAATTTTCACCCAGTACGTTACACAGCCTTTGGTGAAAACAAGATGTGTCTATGAAATTTCATCAACCTTATGGATGATGAGCTGAATCTGTATAAACTTCATTGATTAATGCCCAATTAGAAGTTATTTCAGAAAGATTTCGTCTTCATTTGGGTTCTTCTAAATTAATCA